CAACTGGTACTGAAAAGTTACTTCCTTTATTTATTCAAATATGAAAACCTCGACCATTAAGAGGGATTAAAAAAGATACATTGCCTGTTGACTATTATTGGAATAGTAAAGATAATTGTGTAGTTTTCCGTCAAAATTCATCCGCCAATTTGAATTCCCGCGAGAATACTCGACATCTAAAAATAATTTTTTTTTAAAATTAAATTGTAATAGTAAATTTCGGATATTTTAATTTTGGCGGATGTCGAATATTCTTATGGGAATTCAAATTGGCGGATGAATTTTTTGGCGGAAAACTACACGATTATATAGTAAAGCAGTTTCTATATGGAATGATTACTTAAAAAAAACTGGATGATAAAATGTGTACTGCAAATAGGAATATATTATTACTTATTGATAATGCATCAACACATATTTTAATGGATAATTTAGATTTAAGAAATGTAACAATTCATCACTTTCCTCCAAACACAACTATACATTTGCAACCATGTGATGCAGGGATAATTCATTCCTTTAAGGTCTGTATTTAAATTATTTATTAAATTATTTGTATCAAATATATTAAATTATTTATATGTATTTATATTTACAGTCAAATTACCAGAAATTATTTATTGCAAAGGAGATTAAAATTTTTGATAAGAAACATGAAGAATCTCAAAGTGCACCTATCGAACAGATTCCTGGAATGAGAGATGAATTGAAAGATGCTCTTAAAAATTACAGAAGAGAGGATATTTTTAATTGTGATGATTCAGGTCTTTATTGGAAGATGGAATCAACAGTCCCCATCAGGCTTAAAGCTGAATAAAGAAAGAGTAACAGTATTATTAACTTGCAATGCAACTGGTACTGAAAAGTTACTTCCTTTATTTATTCAAATATGAAAACCTCGACCATTAAGAGGGATTAAAAAAGATACATTGCCTGTTGACTATTATTGGAATAGTAAAGATAATTGTGTAGTTTTCCGTCAAAATTCATCCGCCAATTTGAATTCCCGCGAGAATACTCGACATCTAAAAATAATTTTTTTTTAAAATTAAATTGTAATAGTAAATTTCGGATATTTTAATTTTGGCGGATGTCGAATATTCTTATGGGAATTCAAATTGGCGGATGAATTTTTTGGCGGAAAACTACACGATTATATAGTAAAGCAGTTTCTATATGGAATGATTACTTAAAAAAAACTGGATGATAAAATGTGTACTGCAAATAGGAATATATTATTACTTATTGATAATGCATCAACACATATTTTAATGGATAATTTAGATTTAAGAAATGTAACAATTCATCACTTTCCTCCAAACACAACTATACATTTGCAACCATGTGATGCAGGGATAATTCATTCCTTTAAGGTCTGTATTTAAATTATTTATTAAATTATTTGTATCAAATATATTAAATTATTTATATGTATTTATATTTACAGTCAAATTACCAGAAATTATTTATTGCAAAGGAGATTAAAATTTTTGATAAGAAACAAAATGGTTTAAATCCAAAAGAAATTCACATATATTAGAAAGGCAATAATTTTTGTCTCATATATATCAATTGATAATAACGAGAATAATGAAATGCCAACTAAAGAGGAAATTCTTAATTCTTTTGAGGAGGATGTTATTGTAAGTAGTACAACTATTCTTAATGTTTCAATAAATGAAGCTGTAAAAACTTTTGAAATTGCTTTTAATTTTCTTGAACAAAATAATATACAAGCAGATTATAATGAGTTAAAAGCTTTAAAATTATTGAAAAAAAAAAATCATATAATATTCAAAATTCAATACAAACAAAACATTACTATTTTTTCAGTGAATAATTGACTATTAATTAGCATTTTAATTTTTTGTTATTAAAATTTTCCTGTTGATCCTGTTGGTCATTATCTCGTTTCAATGAATTTAGGTGGTCAGTCCCATAGATCCGTTGACTGTATTCAGGTAATTCATCTGGTATAGTTAATTCAATCTGTTTAGAATCTACAAAAATAGCTAAATCAATTTGTTTAGAATCTACAAAATATTTATTGCAAGAGTGGATATTAATAAACATTGTTAATTTAAAATTAATAATAACCAATAAATTGAATATTAGTAATTACCATTATTATTACCAATAATTGTTACTTTATTGGAATTCACAGGTTGGGGAAGGTTTGTAAATTTTAAGAATCTACTAGTATAAATAGCATTTGGATGAATTACTGTGGTAATTGTTGATGGATCAAATTTTATTTCATCCATTTTATCCAACTCTTTCCTAATTGATTTTAATTCATCATGCTGTTTCTTAGAATATCCACGATTTTCAAGATAACTTATCACATCATGATAAAGTGAATCCTTCCAAAAATGAATAATCTCTAAAATTTCTTGAGCAGTTGGACGTCTATCTGGATTAGCATCCATGCATTTGAATGCTAGTTCAATATAGACTTTTGGTGTATTGTTTGAGAATCCAGGTCTTACACCTCTACATATTTTAATTGCAAGATCTATATCATGTGCCAAATTATTAAATGGTTGTTGACCAGTTGATACTACAGACATCAGAACTCCAAAACTGTATATATCTGATGCCATTGTATATGGTTTCTTCTTTAAAACTTCTGGTGCAATATATGGTAATACTCCACATATATCATTCTTGTCTGATGATGATGTTTGACTAGATGTGCATGATAATCCTAAGTCTGCAATATATGGATAATTATATCTTTGAAGAATATTACCACTATGAAAATCATGATGAATAATTTTTTTTTCATGAATATCTTTTAAACCTTTAATAATTCGTTTAAGAATTTTAATTTTGTTTTCCCATTTTAAATTTTTAAAATCTTTAGTTAAATAATTTTGAAGACTTCCACCTTCCATATATGCCATTACAAATATATATTCTTTTGTAATCAGATTTTGTGTTAATCCATAAATATGAATTATATCACTTTTATCATGAAACTTCATATAATTTTTGAACTAGATAGTAAATAAAATATTTAATTACAACAATAATAATTGATAATACAGTCAGGAATTTTGCTATAAACGGTATTGCAGTTTTTGGGGAAGATCATCATTCTAGAAAAAACAAATAAATTCTAAAAATTATGTGTTACAATAAAAA